CCTGTGGGCTGTGGGTGGGCGGGCGGAGGGCAGCCCCTCGCTCCGCCTGTCTCTCCAGGTGCACAGTGTGACGTCCAAGGAGACGGAATCAAGGCCCGGGCAGGGACGGGGAAACCGGGGATCCCGTCCCCACTCGACTGTGGACACACCGCTCCTTTGACCACTGGCAGAAGGCTCCAGAACATGCTACATGCCGGTGCACTCTAATGGAGAAACCAAGGCCATCCCCCTCCCCACAGCAGACCACTTCTAGCCCGACCCCGGGAAATGTATGTTGGATACAGCCAGGAAGGCAAACACCGCCATAAGTGCATTTTCTTTGCTTTGTGACAAGGAGCCCAGAGAGGGGTTCCCACCACCGCCGCAGACCCATCTGGTGGGCCTGTCACCCTGAGTCCGCCAACACAAACACCCCTCGGGCACATCGCTCTCTGGTGTCCAGGCTCATTGGTATGAAAATGCAGAAGGAGGAGCGGGGGGCGAGCGCCCTGTCGGAGCACAGGATATTCTGTGGCCGAGGCAGCTACTCGCCCGGGAGCAGCGGGCAGGCAAGAGTGTCCACCTTGGAGCATCCACATCTTTCTGTTCACAGGCGTGTGGAAAATCATGGCAGAAGCCCAGATGTGTCTGGGTCAGAAAACCGCTGACGACCACTCCTTGGGCCAGGAGGGTGAGGCCCCACAGGAGTCCTGCAGCCAACACGGGGACTTGGTGGGTGAAGCCACCAGGGACAGGGAAACCAGAGTGTAGTGCCATCTGTCTGTCCTGCACCTTGGAGTCGCCTCAGGCCTAATGTTAGGCAGGACAGCCCCGGGCCTGCCACACCAGGGAGTACCCGGAGGTGTCTGCAATGCGGCAGAGGCTATGCCCCACAAGAGGGGGACACAGAGGCGCAGGCCCAGCGGCCCTCACGGCTCATGTCCTCTGCGACATGGAAGCTGCCTTCTTCCCCGCGGGCTCTGGAAGAACGTTCTGCCCCTCAGCTACCATGTGGTACGGAGGGCAGTCTGCAGGGGGATGTCTGCCACGGTGGGGGCGAAGTGGAAAGAACAGTCTGACTGAAAGTATTCATTATGAGGGGTAGAAAATTCCTTTTGGGGAGCCCCAGGGGGCACCCCAAAGAGGTAGGACAGAGCAGCTGAAGTGGGGGTGAGAGCCCCATGGGGTGTTCACTGGGGAAGACACGTCTTCCGGATGGAGATGCGTGGGTAAAACCACACCGTAGACCCGCCACAGCCCCCAGGTGACAACGCCGGAGGGGGAGGTTCAGTCTCTGACCTGAACCCGCTGCTTCCCACCGGACAAATGGAAGCTGCTCACCAAACCATAAACAAACCCACTGCCGTCCAGTCGATTCCGACTCACAGCGCCCCCACAGGACAGGACAGAACAGATCTGCTCCCCAGGGTTTCCAAGGCTGTGATCTCGACGGAAGCAGACTGCCACGTCTTTTCTCCCGAGGAGCGGCTGCAGGGTTCGAACCGCCAACCTTTCAATTCGCAGCTGAGCACTTAACCACTGTGCCACCAGAGCTCCTTCAGGTGTGTTCACAGTGGCTACTAATTGTCCCAACAGCCACAGGTGGCCACCATGTCATGCAAAAAGTAGTACCAGTACCTGCTGCTGTTAAGTCAGCTCTGACTCATGAAGACCCCCGTGTGTCAGAGTAGAACTGTGCTCTGTACGGTTTTCTTTTCTTTTTTTTTAAATTTTATTTATTTTGTTGTTGTTGCTGAGAATACACACAGCAAAATGTACAACAGTTCAGCAGTCTCTACATGTACAATTCAGTGACACTGACTGCATTCTCCGAGTCGTATGACCATTCTCGCCCCCCTTTTCCGAGTTGTTTCTCCCCCACTGACGTAAACTCACTGCCCCCTAAGGTTCCTGTCTAAACTTTCACGTTACTGTCGTCAGTGTGATCCTACGTAAATAGTTCCTAAAAGAGCACAATGCTCAAGGCAGGCAGTTTTCGCTAGTTAAGCTAAATTGTTGTTTGGTTTTAAGAAGACTTCAGGGGGTATTTTTAGTTTAACGTTTAAAGATGATCTCAGGGCAATAGTTTTGGGGGTTCATCCAGTCTCCATGGCTCCAGAAAGTCTGGAGTCCATGAGAATTAGAAGTCCTGTTCTGTCTTTTCCCTCTCTGATCAGGATTCTTCTATGGAATCTTTGATCAAAACGTTCGGTAATGGTGGCCGGGCACCATCCAGTTCTTCTGGTCTCATGACAAAGGAGGCAGTTGTTCATGGAGGCAGTCAACCACACATTCCATTTCCTCCTCCTGTTCCTGACTCTCCTTCTTCCTTCGTTGCTCCAGGCGAATGGAGACCAGTTGCTGTACCTGGATGGCTGCTTGCAAGCTTTTAAGACCCCAGGCGCTACGCAACAAACTAGGAGGTAGAACAGAAGCACTGAACACACAATTAGGCCAATTAACTAGGATGTCCCACGAAACCATGACCCTAAAGCTCCAAGCCAAGCACCCAAATCCCATGAGGCATTTGGCTGTATATAAGCAGCCTCTGCAGCTACTCTTTTTTTTTTTTTTTTTGCCGTGATTATAAATATGTCTATCACACAACTTTTGCCAATTCAACTTTTTACAGGTACAACTTATTGACGGCACTTACATCAATCGGCTGCGCACCCTACCCTTAATCAATGGGATTTTTCCACCCCCGTTAGTCTCTCCTTCCCCCTCCCTCCTGCCCCTGCTAACCGCTAATAAACTTTGGTCTCTATACATTTGCCTTTTCTTGTCTTTTTGTATACGTGAGGTCATACAGTATTTACCCTTTTGTGATTGATTTATTTCTCCACAGGGTTTTCAGTAGCTGATTTTTCAGAAGTAGACCACCAGGCCTTTCTTCCGAGGTACCTCTGAGTGGACTCGAACTGCCAACCTTTCAGGTAACAGCCGAGCACGTTAACCGTTTACACCACTCCATGCAAAAGTGAGAGTCTTTGAAATAGGGCAATTGTGATAAACGTATCTCTCTGTATTAGCAGAGGCCCATCCTCTTTCTTTTGCCGGACCACCAAGCTCCCACCCCACCTCCTCTATTTATTCACACACGCTTCCAACCAGCGGCCCATGGGCTGCTCACTGCCATTTCCAGAGAAGTGACAGAAGTGACAGTAGCAGCCACTCGCCACTGGCCCAGACCCTGCCCCTGGCACACATGGGCACCCCCTCCCTATTGCTTAAAATTCCAAGAATGACACTTTGTCCCCAGTCTCCTCAGATGTGCACTCCAGACCCCCCCACCCCAACATCTCCTTTGCCCCCATCACAAATGGAGTGAGGCGCTTCGCACACACATCAGGCGCTTCCCTGGGCAGCACCAACGGGCAGCAGGCAGCTCCCGCCACGGGTACGAGACTTAGGAAATTATCCAAGGCCACTGCTGGGGCCTGTTCGGGGGGGGTGGTCACTGCTGGGGCCTGTTCAGGGGGTCCTCTGGGGGTGGTCACTGCTGGGGCTTGTTCAGGGGGTCCCCTGGGGGTGGTCACTGCTGGGGCCTGCTCAGGGGGTCCCCTGGGGGTGTTCACTGCTAGGGGCCTGTTTAGGGGCCACTGTGCAGGTGGTCACTGCTATACCTGTTTAGGGGGGTCACTGATGACACAGTGACCTCAGGCCCAAGTGCTGGGGGGCAAGTGCCGTTCACTGGTGCTTCTGAAAAACTGGAACCCCGTGGATACGAAAACCAGAAGCCACTTTCCTCCACAGCCTAATTCCGACAGAGGGGAGAGAACCCTGGTTTGCCAGCCAGGTTCAGCGAAGCCCCTCTGGGAGGCCTTTGGGCGAGACAGGGCTGAGCCAGTGCGGGCGGGCAAGCCCCAACACAGAGCAGTTCAAGGGGAGGTGGCCTGGACGGTCTGAGCAAGGAGAGAAGTATCCGCAAAACCACAGCAAAGCCAAGCGGGGCATCTTGATGCAGAAACCAACAACGTGTTTCCAGACAAACCAATTAACAGTCAAATGAGGCAGAACTCAGAACACCCCCAGTGCCTTGGCATTTCCTGGGACCGCACTGTGAGGCTCGAGTTATACCCAGTGTCTTACTTACCTAGTGCTGCTACAACAGAAATACCATAAGGGGGTGGCTTTGACAAACAGAAATTTATTTTCTCACAGTTTAGGAGGCTAGCACTGGCTCTAAGGGAAAGCTTTCTCTCTGTCAGCTGTGCAGCTTCTGCTCCTGGGTGATCTTCATGTGATGTGGCGTCTCTCTTCCCCCATCTCTGCCTCTGTGTGTTTAATCTCTTTCATGTCTCAAAAGAGATGGACTTAAGATGCATCCTACACTAATCCTGCATCATTAACATAACAAAGACAACCCATTCCCAAATGGGATTATAAACACAGCCACAGAGGTTAGGAGTTACAACACAAATTTTCAGGGGACACAATTCAATCCATAACACCTGGTACAATGAACGATTTTGACTTTGGAGTGATGTCTGAGTGGCCGGGAATTTTAGCCACCAGTAAAGACCCCAGCCAGAGTCCCTGCAAATGAATACATTCTTTCTGCATCCTTGCCACACTGTAGGGTGACCTCCGGGGTCTTGTCCCTCTCCCTGGCCCGGGAGTGCCCCTGCCCTAGCACAGGGCTGGGGCAGTCACACCAGACCCTCGACAAACGCTTACTTCTGAAATCACTTTCTCTGCCAGCGTCTTTTTTTTTTTTAATTTCAGAGTGTAAACGTCTTAAAGAAGGAGCCCTGGTGGCACAATGGTTAAGCACTCAGCTGCTACCGAAAGGTGGGCAGTTTGAACCCACCAGCCACTCCTCGGGAGAAAGATGTGGCAGTCTGCTTCCGTAAAGATCACAGCCTTGGAAACCCTATGGGGCACTTCTGCTCGTCCTGTAGGGTTGCTGTGAGTCGGAATGGACTCGACGGCAATGGGTTAAATGTCTTAGGACAGAACACCTGCCGGGAGACCACGGCCGGCCGCCCCGCGGGCAGGATGCGGGTGCGGGGTCCTACCTTGTTGTGGTACTGCACCTGTACGGAGTGCCACCTCCCGTCACTCACACCCCCGGGCACCTGCGGTGCCACTGTCGTGGTGGTCTCACCTGCAGGGAGGAAGGAAGAGACAGAAGCAGAGGTCACAGCCCGTCGGCGACCCAGGGTCCGGCCGCGAGGCTGTGTGCAGGGCGGGGGCACCCCGTCCAGAAACGTGGCCGTGCTCCTGCCCGTCCTGCAGCACCCAACCCCAGGCACCCACCGCTCCACCCACACCTGAGGACTTGACCCCAACCATGAAGGCTGCTCGGGGGCTGGCAAGGAAAGCAGGGGCTCCCCTCCAGCTCAAGGCCTTGAAAGGTTACCTGCCAACCACCCACACGGCCTTTCCCCAAGTGCTCCACAGCCACAGGCCACATGTCCCCTTCCACGGAAGGTCACAGGGCACATCACCACCCCTTCCCAGTTACTCAGGGCCTGCCCCTAAGCTTCCCATTTCTGATGAGGAAAGTCACTCATGTGCACTGTTTCAAACAGGAAAAATGTTAAAACGTGTAGAGAAGGGGAACCCACCCATGACGAGCTCAGCAGCTCAGCAGCTCCACGCCCCGCCCCGGCCCCTCCTCCCCCGCCCCAGCCACCCACCACCCTGGCCCTCCACCACCCCTCCAGCCACACCACGTCTTAGTGCTGTAATTTCCAGGAGCAATCAGGGTTACCCCTTAGCGGGGTCCCCTCCTTTCTGCCCTGCACTGACACAGACAAAATCCCAACTGAGGCAGTTCTGTCCCTTACACTGTTCACTTTGTAGGTAACAAGTACTTCCCCGTGTTCTGAACGACATACTAGAATGTCACACAGCACGTCACCGTGAGGTCACAGCATACGGTTATGTCTCTTTGAGGGGGGAGGCATCGATGTCACTGCCGGTCCTGGAGCTCCTGCCTCAGCCGGGCTGGCATTGTAACAAAAAAGTATCTAATCTGTTGCCGTGGAGTTGATTCTGACTCAGCGACCTGATAGGACAGATCTGCTCTGTAGGGTTTCCAAGGAGTGGCTGGTGGATTCGAACTGTCAACCTGTTGGTTAGCAGCTGTAGCTCTTAACCACTGCACCACCAGGACTGGTATTATAAGCAGGTGTAATTTTTCAACGCCCTCGGGGGTGCTGGTGTGCACTCCAGGTTAAGCAGGCGGCTGGGAGGAAGCAGCTTCGCATGCACAAAAGGGCAGGGTCAGCCATCGCCAAGCCTGGGACAAGAGATGCAGTCCCCAGGGAACCAGCTGGACACTCCAGAAAAGAGGGGCATGGGTCTGCAGATCGGAATCCGGGGAGAGGAGGAGCATCCCACCCCACTGAGCCTGGGAGTCACAATGGGCACCTGGAGATGGTGTGGCTGTGGCCCCCATCTGAGGGCCCTGTGCTGCTGAGGGGCTTTTGCTAAATAACATGACCACCGAGCAGGGGCTCGAGACAGTTTGTATTACAGACCACTGATTTTATTCCTTGACTGAAAAATTAAGGACATAGTTTAAAAATGGCCTACTTCCTCTTCTGTTTGAATGCTTCGTTCAAAGTGCCTGGCATTTGGCTGAAAACCCCAGCCCACACCCGGAAGCCTTGTTCCAACTCTGATCTGAGAAAGCTTGGACATTCTAAAGCACCAAGCCCAGGAGCCTCATGGTTCTCCCGGCAGCGTCTATGCCAGCCCAGAGAGCAAGGGTGGGTGGGCACGTCACCCACTCCCAGCGAGGCATCTGACGGCCAGAGGGAGTCCACCCAGAAAATCATGAGCACTGGGCCCCACGCAGGAAGGCACGAAGAAAAGCTACTCACGGCTGAAGGGTCCCTGTCTGGACACCATTAACACACTGAAACGTGCATCCCAATTTAATCCAGAAAATTCCTAACAGGGGGATCACCCTGGGGGAATCTCAGTGGTAGCTCTAAGTTATTCTCAGGTTTGCGTTATCAAAACTGAGCACAGTCAGATATAGTCTCCACCAAGCCTCCAAAAACATGAACACCTGCACTCTCTCCTTCTCCTTAAAGCTTTCAACAGATGGGAAATATTTTCAACATCAAAGCTACCCAGATTTTTTTTTTAAATAGTGGATCACATGATCTGGATATATATTAAAAACTAAAACAGTACATTTTACCAAAATTAGAAAATACAGATCCCCAAAAACAAAAGTGAAAAGTTGCATAATCCCTCCATGCAGAGACAATCATGGCTGACGTCTTGGTACACTTTCCTCCAGTCTGTTTTCTATGTGCACACCGTATTCATGTTTATGTTTATGAAGAACCTCCCTATACTGTTAAAATCTCCCTGTAAAAAACACTGTTAAAGGCTTTGTAAATATGTTAAAGCTACAAATGTACCACGTTTTACTTAATGATTGCCTGATTTTTGGAAATTCGAGCTGTATCTTCTATGTTTGGGCATTATAAACAACAATGCAGTGAACATCTTCGTACACTTTGGCTTTCTCTCTTTAGGGGGCCAAAGGGTGAGCATGCTTGAAGGCCCTGCCCAGGACTGGAGTAGTTTTAAGGGACAAAGCGCTTGAAGCGTTTAGAGAGCTGTTCCTTCCTGTGGAGGAGGCCTTACCTGCAGAGAAGGTGAGCTGCACTTGCTCGCCCACGATCTCCAGGGCGATGAAATCGTGCTTCTCATTGAAGCGACCGTTGTAGAGCAGCAAGGCATTCCTTTCTTGGGTGGCAAACCTGAGGGACCAAGCAGAAGCATGTCACACGGTGAGTGACTCAGAATGGAGGGTTTACCGGTGGCAGACGTGGAAACGAGAGGCAGGCCAGAAATGACAAGCCCAGCCAAAGGAAGGAAGAACATGGGCCCGCGCTTCCAGAAAGACTCTGGTTACATCAAGATTTGACAAGCCATAAAAAACCTGACCAGTGACGTTCTCTGCTGGAAGTAGCCAACCCAATTCCATGGGTGAATCTGGTTCTACGTTCTGTGTAACTTGCAAAGATTACATTTGCACAATGTTCTGGAAGTATGACAGCCAGTAGACCAACTAGAGATGTCTGGACAGAAAGCACATGCAGTGAATCTCCTGGTATTGGAAAGAGATCCCCCACGTGAACACCTGGGCAGAGGGACACGGCCTCTGCTCCCACAGGGATGCTAGTGTTGAGAGACCACCTCAAGGCCTATGGCCTTCAGTCTCTACCACCACACTCCAGCCGCACTGGCATCCTTTTGCTCCCAAACACCAAGCTCTCTCCTGCCGCAGGGCCTTTGCATCTGCCATTCCCTCTGTCTGAAACAATCTTCCGTGGCTCTTCAAATCTCACACCAATGTCACCTTCTCAGAGACCTTCCTGACTCATTTTATCTAATATGCACCCCCTAATCCATCTGTCTATTACATCACACAGTTTATTTTGGAAATTATCCAGATTTATGTATTTGTTTATAAGAATGTATGATCCTTGTGCGGAGGGATTATGACTCTTGTTCACTGCTACATCCTAGAGCCTATAACAAAGTCCCACCCATGTGAGTGCTTAACAATAAATGAATGGATGAAAGGATCAAAGAATGAATAAACGCATGAAATGAATATACCTGTCAGAACTTTAAGCATGCAAAGAGTAAAAAGCTGATTATTCTGACATGCGAGAAATACTTTCTCAGAAATCTGCCTCCTGCCCCAGTGGTCCTGAGGAAAACTACCCCATCAGCCTTGAGGGCTCCAGGCTGTTGAGTTGTACCACGTCTCCCTGGTGTCTCCGGTTACAGAGAACCCTGGTAACCTGCTGAATGAAGTGAGAGCTGTTTCCTGAGTTAGCTGGATGTCTCTGTCAGCAGAGATTAAGTGAGAGAAATTCCTTCCTTTGACTCAAGGCTAGTTTATCTGTTTTCAGGCAGCAGGAGTCTGCCTGAACCAGCCTCAAACACCTACCTCAGCCTTGTCCTTGACTTACGTAACATCAGTAGTTCACATCTGCATCTCAAATCCCCTCTGCTTAGAATGCCAGCAAGAACTGATGACAAACACGAACAACAAAATACCTGTACAACAAGCTGCATGCTTTAGGGGTGGAGTGGGCAGGCAGAAGGGCTTAATTAACCCCGGGATCAGCTCAATGCCATACTTGCTTCCCTCCTAATTCTCTTTGGTAGGTTTCTCTTGGGCGAGTTTCTCTTTTGACCAAGGCAGGAGACGAGCTGGTGAGAGCAGGTAGCTGTCAGTGTTACGCGTCCTGCACTGTGCCCTCCCAGCAAGAACCTGCCCACTGCTGGAGGCAGAGAACTAGAGAAGGAACCCAAGCAAGACCAGGAGGGGAGTGTTATGGATTGAATTGTGTCCCACCCTCCCCCCTAAAAAAAACTCATTGCCGTCAAGTCGATTCCTACTCATAGTGACCCTAAAGGACAGAGTAGAACTGCCCATAGTTTCCAAGGATAGGCTGGTGGATTTGAACTGCCAACCTTTTGGTTAGCAGCGGTAGCTTGCCATAGCTCTTAACCACTGCACCACCAGAGGTCCCCCCAAAAATATGTGTTGTAATTCTTCACCTCTATGCCTGTGGTTATAATCTCATTTGGGAATGGGTTGTCTTTGTTATGTTAATGAGGCAGGATTAGTGCAGGGTGTATCTTGAGTCAATCTCTTCTGAGATATAAAAGAGATTAAACAAGCATAGGCAGAAATGGGGAAGAGAGATGCCAATTCACATGAAGATCGGCCAGGAGCAGAAGCTCAAAGAGACAAGGACCTTCTTCCAGAGCCAACAGAATAGAGAAAGCCTTCCCCTAGAGCTGACATCCTGAATTTGGACTTCTAGCCTCTAAACTGTGAGAAAACAAACTTCTGTTTGTTAAAGCCCCCACTTGGGGTCCTTCTGTTTTAGTAGCAGCAGATAACTAACAAGGAGCCCTGGTGGCGCAGTGGTTAAGAGCTCGGCTGCTCACCAAAAGATCAGCAGTTTGAACCCACCAGCTGCTCCTTGCAAACCCCACGGGGCAGTTCTGCTCTGTCCTGTAGGGTTGCTAGGAGTCGGCATTGACTCGATGGCAAGAGGTTTTTTTTTTTTTAGATGACTAAGACAGGGGGTTCTGAACAATCAAGTAAAAAGAAGGGGGCCAGGGGAAGAAGGGGGTAAGAACAAGGAAGAGCAGAGGAGGAATGAGAGGTGGCTGGGAAAACAGAGCCCCCTGGGGATCCCCAGGCACTTGGCCAACAGAAGCTTGAAACAGGAGAAGAGACTGTGAGAGGAACCGCCGGAAATGAAGAGCAACCCAGCTCATGCTCCAGCTGCTCCATTCAGGGGGCACAGAGGGTCCACGTGTCTCAGAGGGCCTTGTCCCACCTGCAACCACAGCCCCAAAAGTGTAACTGGTCTTCTGTAAAGACTTTGGGAGAATTGTTTTTATTACTTTGCTTTTGAAGTCTTACCTACAAACCACTCAGTGACTTCACGTTGACCTGACTGTTCAGCATCTTCATGCATCAGCGAATCATCCATCAATCGCTGTCAAATGATCTCACCAATACTACACACCAGTGGGGGGGGACACACCGTTACGTTGTGCAAACATGTAATGAAACATCACTATTTTCTAGTTTCTCTGTGTTCTCGGGCCAACAGGCTTCCTTTGCCAGCTTCCAACACAGGTCGTCTTGCTTTGGCACCAGGACTTCCGGACACCTGCTCGGGTCGGCCTCCAACGGGGACCCCTCCTGCGGCTGATTTGCTGCCAACAGTCACCGCCCACGTGACCGAGGGCTGCGGATGTACCACGCAGTGGGTGGCAATGACTATACATGTGCCCACATCACGAACCCTGAGCTAACACCCATCACATGCTCCAAGGTGCTGCCCAGAAGACTTGGGGACCCATTCGATTTGGAAGGACTGGTGTTTCCTTTGCTTTCAACATCAAGCCGCATGAGACACAGTGTGGTTGGGGATCCCCAGGCACTCCTAGCTTCCGGGAGCTAGTGCCCACAGGGCGGCCTTTGGAGCACAGGGCTCAGGGCACAGAGCAGGGGCTCAGTGCTGACAGTGGGCAGAGGACAACGACCCAGGCCCGGCCACTAGGGCTCAGGGCTTGACGCTGTTGCAGGGTGAACCGGCTCGTTTTACAGGTGAGGGGGGCGGGGAGAGTAATGGCAATCAGAACCATGCCAGGCACGTCCTGTGCTCCCCAAACTCTCACGGTAAACCACTGGGGGGCCATGGTTAGCTCCTAAATTAGAGTCCCCAGGCTGCCTAGCAGAGCAGCACAATCTGTGGCTTTAAGCAACAGCCATTTATTCTCTCTCAGCCGTGGAGCCTAGAAGTCTAAAGTCAGGGTGTCGGCAAGCGCTGCACTCTCTCCACAGACACTTCTTTGTCTCTCTCAGCTTCTGGGCGCTCCAGGATTCCTTAGCTCCCGGCAGCATCACTCCAACCTCTGCTCCTCTTTTACCTGCCCGTATTCCCTCTGTCTCTCCTGTTCTCAGAGGACACCAGTCACAAAGAGATCAGGGCCCCCACCCTAACGACCTCATCTTCATTCTTCACATCTGCAATGACCCTCTTTCCAAATGAGGTCGGTCACATTCTGAGCTTCTAGGGGGTTAGGACTTCAACATAACTTTTGGGGAGACACAATTCCAACCGCTGCACCCCATTTCCCAGTTGAAAAGATGGAAAGCGGTCTGCCCACGAGCAGAAGGTGAGAAAGTGGGGGAGCTGTGGCTGACGGGCCAGAGCCTGAGGGGCAATTTCAGAACAGCAGGTCTCCTAATGACCTGAACCTCAAAACCATGTTCAGAGTCAAATGATACGCCGCCAAGAGCGTCCTGGAGTCTGAGCTGTAAGCCCAGCACCTCCTTCACTTCTCCAGCATCCCCATTTCCCTAGAAAAGGGGCAATAATCTCAGGCCTAGAACTAAAGCAATTAGCACTGCGCCCGCACACACAGTGAGGTCAGCAAATGGCAGCTACTGTCATTACTTTATCAAAGTTAGTCCAAATAAGGACATTCAGGAAGGGGGCCGAAACCAAACCAAAACACAAAACCTGTTGCTCTTGAGTTGACTCTGACTTATGGTGACCCCATGTGTGACAGGGTAGAACTGCTCCATGGGGTTTTCTTGGCTGTAGTCTTTATGGAAGCAGACCACCAAGCCTGTTTTCCACGGCTCTGCTGGGTGAGTTTAGACAGACCACAAGAAACGTCCACAACCGGAAAGCGCAAACCCAGAGTGAGAGCGTGTATGGGCTGGGGTACTGAGAGCGCCGGCCACAGGCAAAACGCCGGGCGGAGTCCTGCTTGCTAGCTTTGTGACCTGGGGCAAGTTTTGCAGCAAGTCCTGTGTGACTACCTAATGGTTTCAAAATGCATCTGCTCTGGGGACTTTGACACAATCAAATAATCTGACAACCAGAACAAACTTGGGAGCAGGAAGTCCGGCAGGGGTTCCTGACCCCAACCAGCGAACCGCATAGAAGATCAGCGTAGGGCTGGAAGACTGAGCCCTACTGCAGCAAGCCAGCAGTGATTCAAGCCCATTCCTGCTGAGGAAGTGCCAGGTCTGACCTTGGCGGGGTCACCGCAGTGGGCAGGACGCTAGCCCTGCAGACCAGGACGTCCAAGTCAGGACAGCGGCCAGGGGGCGGGCAGTGACGGCATTGCCCACCATGCGGGCCAGGCTGGGGCAGGCTTCCTGAAGGAAGCAGGTGGGTGGGGCGGCCAGGAAGGCCCAGGCCCAGAGAAGTATGAGGGGGTCAGGGGCCACGTCACAGGGCCTGAGGTGCAGGAAATGGAGGAGGGGCCGCCAGGGTCTGACCACGAAGGGCCCTGTGCTCCATGCAGAAGGGGCTGTGGCAGGATGGTAACAGGCTCAGCCTGATGCAGGCTGGACAGCAGACCAGATGGCGGCTGTCACACCAGGCGTCACACAGGTGAGAGACAATGGAGGTCTGGACCAGGTACTGGGAACTGGCATGGGCAGCAGCAGATGGATGTGAGAGGCACAGGACGAGGGGTCAGGGGAATGGCCAAGGGCAGGGCTGGGGGAGAAGCTGAGGCCGACGGCACTGCTGGAGTGGGCAACCGTGGATGGATGTGAGAGGTGCAGGACGAGGGGTCACAGGATGTGACTGGGGATGGGGGACAGAGGGTCAAGACACTGCTGCCAGAGCAGCTGGGTCAGCAACAGGCCCTCCTGAGACGAGCCCTGAGGTCCCTCTTGAACCTGCCGAGTGGGAGGCATGTGTGGGACATCCAAGCAGATATGCTGGCACATCCATACACGCACAGTCTAAGCATCCAAGCCCTGCAGCACTGACTTTTGGGACCTTCTGGAGAGTATCTGCCCCACCTCCCACTGGAGTCCATGCTTGGAGGCCAGGTGCTGAGCGGCCAGTCTCCACCCTCCCACCTCCGAGTGCTGCAGGATCACAGAGGGAAGACGGTCATGTGATGACAGAGTGATAAATCCACAAGCCAAGAAATGCCAAGGATTGCCGGCAACCTCCCGGAGCTGGGAGAGAGGAAAGGAACAGGCTGTCCCTCAGATCCTTTGGAGGGAGCACAGCCCTGTGGACACTTTGATCTCTGACTCCCAGCCTCCACACTGTGAGAAGAAAGCTCTGTGGTTATAAGCCACCCAATTTGTGGTACTTGGCTGCAGTGGCCCCAAGACACTCATACACTGCAGGTCTCCTTTCCCCTACCTCGGCCACCTGGACAGCCTATAATAACTAAACTCGTTTCTGCAGAGTCGATTCTGACTCGTAGTAACCCTACAGGACACAGGAGAACTGCCCCATAGGGTTTCCAAGGCTGTCATCTTTACAGAAGAAGACTGCCACATCTTTCTCCATTGGAGCAGCTGGTGGGTTCAAACCACCTACCTTCCAGTTAGCAGCTGAGTGCTTAACCACTGAACCACCAGAGCCCCTGCCTGGATGTCAGAGATGCCCAAATGTTGGCAAGAGAGCTGGACTAGAACAGCCAGGGCCGGCTTCACAGGTGTGAGACCTGTGCAGTCACACAAGGCTCCCACGCTCAGAAGGGCCCCAAGCTTGTTGGCTGTTGTTGCTGTCATTCTGAACGTCTTAATAATTTCTGAACAAGGGACATCGAATTTTCATTTTGGACTGGGCCCCACAAATCATGCAGTCAGTCCTGCAGCCAGCACTGGTCAGAGCTACTCAAGTATCAGAGGCCACCAGCGAGCGACACTTCTGTTGTTATCTAGAAAGAAGAGGTGCATCTGGACACAATGTGACACTTTTCTGCCCCAGTAACCACATTATCAGGAGGGACCAGTCCCTGGAGAAGGACATCACGCTTGGTAAAGTAGACCGTCAGCGAAAAAGAGGAAGACCCTCAATGAGATGGACTGACGCAGTGGCTGCAATAGTGGGGTCAAGCCTAACGATTGTGAGGATGGTGCAGGACCCGGCAGTGCTTCGTTCTGTTGTACGTAGGGTCGCTATGAGTTGGAGCCAACTAGATGGCACCGAACAACAATTATGTTCTACGCACTTGTTGGGGACACAACGGGGGCACACACTCACGTGAGGGAAATGGTGAAGTGGAAGCGCTGCCGCAGGCCGCGGAAGGTGACGAAGGACTGAGGTGGGAAGCTCCTGGTGGTCACCTCACAGTAAGGCTTCTCATATTCGCCGGGAGGGCACACGCAGTGGAAGCCGCCGATCAGCAGGTTCACACAGGTGCCCCCGTTTTTGCACACTCCGTTGGCACAGCGGCCCGAGCGCACATTCACCTCACAGTGCTCCCCTGCAGGAGAGAGGAGAGGACACAGCCAGAGGTCACACAAGTGGCCAAGGGAGGGACAGGCCAGCCCCTCGTGGCCCCCAGAACACTCAAGCTGTAAGTCAGCTGCAGAAAGAAAACACAGCTCTGGTGTGAGGTCTGCGATGCAAGTGTTAACTCTCCTGGAAGCACAGCAGAGTCGGGCTGCAGTTATACGTATGTTGTTTTTCTCATGGTAACAATGGCACCCAGTGCCTGGAGGGTAATCGAACAGAACCGAGGACAAGTGGCTGGGGTGGGCTGGTGGGCTTCCAAGAAGCACTTGAGAATGGAATGTGTCAGGTGACTGATTCAGCACTGACCCCATCCCCACTGACACCATCCCCGTCCCAAGCCTCTGGGTTCTCCGTATTCCAGGAGGCAAAGAGACTATGCCGCAATGAACATTTCTCAGTATCCAACCCCATTCTGAACATCCTACTGGCTGAGTTGGACTCTCTCTTACAAACAAATTACCTAGAAACAGACAAGAGGGCCTCCGGCCTCCCTCCCTACACCCGTGCCACCATAATCACATGAACACATCCGAGCCTTGTCCGAGACTCTGGAGTGGGCCGTGATCAGACTGGACCAGAGGGCCACCTTCTGGGGCAGCCTTCCTGCTGTGCCCCCACCCCACCCTCTGCCTCTCATGGAGACCTCCTGCACAGCCCGCCAACACTGGACTTCAATGTTTTTAAGCATGTCCATCTCTCCACCTGCCTGGGAGCTCACTGAGGGCAGGGACCACTGTGTTCCAATGTCCGCCCCCCCGACCCCCAGGGCCTAATGCCTCCTGCTTCCCACAGATACCGACTGGGGAGCCCACAGCTGACCGCCTCTTCCTCCTGAGGCTCCATCAGAGCAGGGTGCTGGGAACTTGGCCTGCTGGGAGGGTCCTAGTGCTCGCCAAAAGATAAAGGGTCTCCCCCGAGGCAGCTGGGGGGGGTTGCACACAGAACCAATCAATTCTGAATGGCACCCGGAGACCAGCCACCATGTCGGCCAGCAGCTGCTGGGCAGAGCAGTCCTTGCTTCTTGGGGTGGGCATAACAGCTCCCATGCCGGCACAGCTAGGACCCACCTCCTCCGCCTCCAACATGCAGGGTGGACACCAGCCAGAACTGCCTCACAGACCATCAGGGGCTTCAGATAATCGGAAAATTCCCCAGGTCACAGCAAAACTCTTTGTCAGCCCCTGGTTTTTAAATGACTGTATTTGCAAATAAAACTATTATAGCCACATACTAAAAAACTCAAACCACAAAAAGCACGGCATGAAGAGTAAAAGTCTTCAACAGTGTCCTGCGTGCCCTTCCAGAAAATAAGTACGTAGGGTGGCCTACACGTGTATCTTGTCTACCTTGCCTGCGGCCTGCCCACCTGACTCAACGATGTATCCTGGGGAGCTTCCTGGAAGCCCAAGGGAGGGTTCCTTGAAGGGCTGCACAGTACTGCATTGGAAGAGTGCTTCAATATCTAAATCAGCTGTTTCTCATCGTATTATTGATGGACATGTAGGCTGTTTAGGCTTCTCTTACTGCAGATGACTTTGTAATAACGACAATCACACTGACGTGTGCGCACACACACTCTCACACCCACGGCTCACACACACATTCAGTTGCTCACACAGCAGTCAGTGCCCCGGGCCTCTTCTCCGGGGGGGCGGCCTGCAGCCTTCACCTTAAATTCTTGTACTAACAGTCAACGCCTAGCTTACGGCGCATTTCTCCTTCTTCATACACGGCAGGTTCTTCAGTTTCTACCTGAACAATGCATGTGCCGTTTGGAAATGTTTGCTTTCACAGCCCCAGCTTAGCCAGGTGCTGGTCAGGCAGAGAATATTCCCGAAAACAAAGCTGCAAGTGGGGGGACAGGGCGGGCTGTGCTCACCTCCCCGTGAAGGCAAACAAAGGGAGGCCTCCGCGGGGGCATGGCTCTTCCCACACTCCTTCCTTCCACTGCGTCCCAGAATCTCCATTAACGCCAAGTTCAAGTCCAGGCTTTGGTCCAAGTGTTCAAACTTTCACCCTTGATAAAAGCAGAGCTCGGCCCACTTCCCCCACCAGCTCCAACCACACCGCCTCCAAAATACCACCTTCTCCTTCAACTGGGAAGTCTGCACTCCCGCCGCCCTCCCTTAAGCACCGGAGGATACCGTTTCCTCACATCTACAATTTCCTCTACAGGCGGCCTGCTGCCTGGGACCAAAGACAGGAAGGCCTTGAGTGATGAAAGCCTTCGTTCATTGGTTCTTCGGGTCGTAAATTTGGAATTCACAGCTGGTAGTCCTGTTCCCACAAGCCCTGGTGGGGCAGTGGTTAAGTGCTCAGCTGCTAACCGAAAGGTGGGCCGTTCAAAACCACCAGCCGCTCCTTGGAAACCCTTTGGGGCGGTTCTACTCTGTCCTATGGGGTCGTTGTGAGTCGGAATCAACTCAACAGCAGTGGGTTTGGTTTTGCGCTTAGTCCCATTTCCAAGCACAGTCTTCAGTGGCCACAGGGAAACCCTTCTCCTCAGGCTGAGCCTCCGAAAGCGAGAAGGGTGGAACCACTGACTCCCCCTGCCTCACGGCGCTGAGGCTTCAAGGGACACGCTGTGTATGACAGGCCACCTTTGAAGCGTCTGGGTTTCCCACTGACAGCGAGGCCGGCATATGTCTGTTGCTCTGCTTGGACGCCCTTGCTACTTTAAGTGTGTGGTAAATCAGGCTAAGTCTCTATGAAGTTTTGCTTTTTGTTACCATGATGGATTTTCTTTTCTTTTTTTAACTTCCAGTTGGTGGCCCTGTGCATTTGTACTAAAATTACAATTGTGGTCAGTCTTTGCCTCTGCAAACCCAGAGCCCCAGGCCACCTTCCCTGTGGGGTGCGCAGTACTAAAATCACAATCTGCAAACCCAGAGCTCCGGGCCACCTTCCCTGTGGGGCGCGCTGTACTAAAATCACAATCTGCAAACCCAGAGCTCCGGGCCACCTTCCCTGTGGGATGCGCTGTACTAAAATCACTCCCTGCGAGCATGGAGCTCCGGGCCACCTTCCCTGTGGGGTGTGCTGTACTAAAGTCACACCCTGTAAGCACGGAGCTCCGGGCCACCTTCCCTGTGGGATGCGCTGTACTAAAATCACTCCCTGTGAGCATGGAGCTCCGGGCCACCTTCCCTGTGGGATGCGCTGTACTAAAATCACTCCCTGCGAGCACGGAGCTCTGGGCCACCTTCCCTGCAGGTGCCTCTTCCCGAGCTTCTGAGCCCTCAGGACAGGCTCCTCCCACCTCATCATGTAAGGGGACACCTGGGGCCCTGGCATGGGCCAGCTCCTCCTGCCTCGACAGCTCCCCTCACCCCTACAACAGCCATATCCAGTACTTCGCCCCCGTCTCTCTCGAGGCACCTCCGTCCTTGAATCGGGGTCCTCACTTCCACAAGCCCATTCTCTTCCAGGTTGATCTGGGGGAGGGGCTCCATCACCAGGCAGGGAGGCAAGCTGGGAGCTTGGAGGCACCCCACTCCCTCCTCCCCTCATACCCATCTAACTCCAGAGTCCTGTGTCCCTGTGTCCACTACCCCGTCCACTCCCAGTCTATGTCGCCTCCCCACGTCCATTGCACAACACCGGTGACCACCTCATGGGTCCCCTGCACCCATCCAGCTGCCCACTGAAGAGCAAATCTGCTTGTTTTTCACACAGGACCAGAGAGACCTTTTCAAATGTTGACCCTAGAACTCCCATTGCTCCAGTGGGGACCCTTACCACATGCCCAGCTCCATCCCCAACACACTCCCCCCTGCCCCACGCCCTCCCATGTGGCCACGTGGTTTCTCTCCTCCAGGGCTGCAGGGAGGGTTCGACGGAGTAACATACATGGTACGCAGTAAGACTGTAGATGTTCCCCACCATCAGCAGCAATGACCCAGCGGTGGACATCAATTCATCCTTACTCGGTGTCCTCTCTTCTGTTTGTCCCCTGGCCACGCCTGTCCTCTAACTCAGGAACTCGCCCTCAGGGACACCTTTGCCTGCCCACCTGACCAGGCCCAGAGCGCCCACAGCAGCCTCTGATGGATGAGGACCTTCCCTCTCTAGAGCGCTCGCTGTGGCTCCAGGCTCACATCCACCTATGGGACTGCTGGTGAACATCCATCTCCCCCAGCCTCTGTGAGGGCAGGGACAGGGCAGGGTTGGCTCTGAGGCCGCGCCCAGGATGCTCAGCACCCAGAGGGCAAAAGCCTGGCGCCAACAGGTTCTCAAGAAATGCTTGAGAAGTGAAGTCATAAGTGCCGGCATTTTCCCCAGTCCCAGCCAATGATTAATGCTTGTATTTAATCCATGCAGTCACAAAACTGACATAATTCACATATTTGATTCAAACAATGCAGGAATTATATTGATGCAATGGGTGAGGAATTAATTTTACAGTTAAAAATGCAGTTTTTAAAAAAGGCGGTGAGAACTGAGTGTTCAGGTTTCAGATGAACTGGGCCTGCCTGGGAAAGGGTCTCATCTCAGGGTTCTGGCATCTTCACTCAGGCCAACTCCCCGGTCCCCTGAAGGCTCCTTCTCAAGGTCTGCTACCAAGTCTACACCCAACGATGCTTCCTGTGCAGACACTCCAGCTCCTCTGTTTGCAGTGTCCAGTAATTCACTAATGCTTTTCCTTAAACTTAGTTTAATGCAGCGGCGTGCCGGCAACCAGCTCCCTGATTTGTAGCACTTGCCAATTTCGGTGGTGTGAATACTCCCGCTACGGCCAATTTCAAGCCACCCACGTGACATTACTGACCGGGAAGTAGAGAAGCCATGTGAAAGGAGAATTTTTAATTATTAAAGCCATCTTACTCAAAACCAAACCCATCGCTTTCAAGCAGATTCCAACTCATGGCTACCCTACAGGACGGAGCAGAACTGCGCCATAGGGTTTCCAAGGCTGTAATTTTTACGGAAGCAGACTGCCACATCTTCCTCCCACAGAGCGGCTGGTGA